CTCTGGATTCAAACGAACCAGGCTTCTAATTCCAGCTATATAGCTTTTAGCTGTATCACCTTGAGCCCCAATATCCTTATTTGTAACACTGACACAATAACACGGATTTTCTCAGTTTTTTAAAAATAATAATAAAAATTAAATATCCAGTGTGTTGTGTCAAGATCAATTCCTAACACATGGTGCCCCATAATGATAGTTCAGCCATGAGGAATATTTACCCAGTTTTCATATATGCTATTTAAATAAAAAGTAATAACACTGGCTTCCAGAACCACAAAAGTCAGTTTTTTTCCATTATAGATATATGTCACAAATATGTCTAGATAGACCAACCAGGAAAGTAAGTACTGGCCTAGCACATTTGCTGGGAATTCAAATAGCGTCTTGAATTGTAGCTCCCATAATTCCCATGTGTCATGGGAGGGACGTGGTGGGAGGTAATTGAATCATGGGGGTGGGTCTTTCCCTTGCGTTCTCATGATATTGAATAAGTCTTATGAATCTGATGGTTTTATAAAGGGGAGCTCCCCTACACACACTCTCTTGCCTGCCACCATGTAAGCTGTGACTTTGCTTCTCCTTTGCTTTCCGCCACGATTATGAGGCCTCCTCAGCCATGTGGAACTGTGAGTCCATTAAACCTCTTTCCTTTATACATTACCCAGTCTTGGCTATGTCTTTGTTAGCAGCATGAGAACAGGCTAACTCACAGGAAGTGCTGTTAAAACTAGACAGCAGAATAAATGAAAATTAAGCAGTTGCTCTAATAAGAGATGTAAGAGAATGCAGTCTACTTTATAATTTTGCCAAATATTTGGAGCTCTCATGTCATAAAATTCTAGGAGAATTTTGTAATAAATTCATCAAAGGAAAAGCACTAAATCAAGCGTCATAAGACGAGTGTCCTCATCCCTGCTCTGCCACTTATTGGCTATATGACCTTGGATATATCACTTGACCTCTATGGATGTCAATTTCCTTCTCTGTAAAATGAGAATGTGGGACCAGATAATCCCAAGATCTTTCCCAGTTGTACCACTCTTTGAGTCAATGACTCCGCCATTATCCCTCCCCTTGTTCTCTGGAGATTTTGTTGCCACAATATTCAGTGTTGCCCCCAAGTAACATCACGTAGCAAAGTCCAGTCACGCACAGGAATTCCAGGCACTGTGACTGTGAATTCTAATCCCTCTTTGGCCATGCCATCATTGAATGACCTTCGGCAGGCACTTAACTTCATCTAACTGCCTCACCAGCCCTCCAGAGATTTGCCAGATAAATTTCCAACTCTTTACTCTCCACCAGCTGCCCTCCAAAATGCCTTTACAATGCTTAACTTGGGACCACCCATGACAAATCATAAAACTAGGCTTTTTCTCTGAATAATTCTCAATCACAGTATGTTTCTGCCTCAAACATAAAAGCCTTCTTTTCTTCCTATTAAAATCATAACCACTTTCAAGCGAGGTGAAATGTAAGTGAAAACTTAAAAGGCTGCAAAATTTGTCAAATCTGTAGCAAACTCAAGGCTGGGAAAGAGAACTGATACGCATTGTATAATAGATCCACCATGATTTCATTAGGCTAGAACAAAGTGTGGAGACTAAGAAAAATTAGTACGAACCCTCAGCAGATATTTTGGAGCAGATATATCTTACAATAGAATTGGCCCTACAATCCCTGACCTACATGTAATGGAAAATAAGTCCAATATTTCTATCATTAATAATAATATAATAGCTGTCATTTGTTGTGCACATATTGAGTTAGGCATTCTGCTAAGGGATTTACATGCTGTATCTGTTAGAATGCTTTTAGCTGCAAGTAAGAGTACCTAACTATAAGGGGCTTTGTAGTATCCTGTCTCACGCTGGCTGATGAGTGATTGGTCCCAGGGTTGGCTGACTGAGCAGCATGACACCACGGAGAATCCATCCTCCAACTCTGCTATTCTCCATGTGTGGGTAACATCTCCCTTTGTGGCTGCACAAAGGCTGCAATGATTCCAGCTGCCACACAGATATTTCAACATCTACCAAAGCACACCTCCCACATATATCTTTCTATTGGTTAGGACAACTGTACCCCAAAACTCCCTAATTTCTCCTGACATTTCATTGTCCAGGATTAAATCACGTTACCATACCGTAACCAATCAATGACAAAGTAAATAGGACTGCCAATGTTATCTTAGATCAATCATGATTCACCTCTGGTTCACCTTCCTTGAACACATGGAATGGTGCCTACCCCACCCAAACAAAACTGAGCCCCACTGGCAAAGAAGGGGAGGGTGAGCTGGGAATTGGCAGCTGGGTAGATAACAGTATCCACTACACATACATTATTGTTTCAACAAATATCCTCTGAGGAATTATTATCTTCCTTTTGTAGATGAGAAAAGTGAAACTCACAGAAGTCAAGTAAATTGCCCATTGTCACACAGCTAGAAGCTGAGAAATTCTGTGTTCTTAACCACCATTATTGATAGGTCTGAAGTTTCAGTGTATGTAAGAAACATTAGCAAGTTTAGTACAAACGCAGAATCTCAACTCCACACCCAGAGATTCTGATTCAATAGTCTAGGAGAGGAGCCCTCAGTCTTCATTTTTAACAAATAATTTCAGTTAATTTGGATACAGGTGGTCTATGAACCACATTTTAAGAGAATAAGATTGGCTATTACTTGAACAGAAGTCTGATTTAAAACAAAAACCAAAGCAAAAACTGTAATTTTCTGGAAGTCCCAGACTCACTATCTACAAAAGCCGTCGTGTCTTAAGTATCACCGCAGAAACATTTCATCCTGGTCCCTCTGTAGTCTGCACAGGTCAGACTCTACATAGTGTCTAGATCTTGCTCTCTAATTTAAGAAGGTTATAGATAAAACTTTCAGATGAGGGAAACGAGCTCCAACAGAGATATAACAGGTCATCTAAGTAACCACTGAAGAATCATGTGGTTCGATGGGAATCATATGGTGCATATGGGAAGATTTACGGTTGAGGGCAGTCAACTCTTATGGGTAGGGGTGAGAGAAAGCCATCATCACCCTTTAAATATTGACTAGGCTATTACATGTAAAGGACACTCAGAGGTAGGATCAATGATAAGAAATTATGGGGCAGCTCTTTTTTTTTTTTTTACTATAAAGGAGAACAGACTAATAATTAACTTGGTCAACAACGGTAAAGGCTCTCCACCTCACAAAACATTCTGAATGCATTTGAGCAGAGGCTGGCAGACCCTGTGTCTGTCACCAATGTTGTAGAAGGGAGTCCTCTATTGAAAAGGAGCCTTGTGCAGACGACTCCTAAAATATGCTGTGATCCTTCAACCACATCTTCTGCAAACTGACTTGTATTCCTTTCTCACTTTTTTTCACTATGGTCATTTCTGCTGAACACTTTGGGGTACCATTTAATTTCTAATGCATTAATGCCCTATTTTTCCAAATTGGTAGAATGTGTCTGACTCTTTTTTGTGTGTTCGTGGTACCTAGATCAAAACCATGCTCCTCACAGGTGCTTAATGAATAGTTAGTAAATGTAAAAGGATGGTGTGGAATGGTGGGTAAGCACATCCAGATGATGCGTAGAAGGTAACTGTTAGTACTTCTGCTTTGTTTACTACTATTCTTCTTTCTCTGGACAAGGATCATGGAGGCTATATTTGCATTATGCACCCTCCTCTCTGGCCATCATTGACTGGGTCAGAAATTAACATCTGATTCAAGCTGGGTCCATAAGACTGGCACTAAGATATTAAGACAATCTTTTAAGGTGGCTATAATTATAACATCTGAGCTAAGAGCCATGATCTACTGAAAAAGAATGAGGCAGATGACAGGCAAAGACTGAGCTTTCTGTCTCTGGGGTCCCCATCCCTTCCTGAGGCTCATGTATAAGTATGCCTTTGGTCTCTAAGATGAATCCCTCTGTCTTTGTAAAATTCTTCCTCTTTCCTTCCCTTCCTTCTTTTTTTCTTTTAGATTTTACTGAAGTTGGCTTTAGTTGGTTTTAGTTCATCTCAATCAGAAGCTTGAATCCAAATAAAATTGTTCCTGAGTTTGCTGTTGAGGCTACTGATGCAAAGAACTCATGCTCTTAGAATTCCAAGAAAAGCCAGGCTTTTGGAGACCCCAGTGACTATAGAGCATTTAGACCTTTGCATGTTACCAGATATTTTGGAAGGTTTGAGACTGGTGCTACTGCAAGCTGATTTTCTTACTACTCCAAACTCTAACCTGCAGGGGCATCAAAGCTCTTATGAAGGCTCCACTGCCAGATCACAGGTCTCCTTACTACGAAGATCCCGTCTCCAACAGTAGAAATTTTGAGGTGGGTAGGAACTAACGTCTAGTGCAATGAAGCAAGGCCGGCCCAAATAACAGACGGGAATACTTGGAGGTATCTACAACTCCATTATGCTACAAAGTGTTTCTCCGTACAACATTTGGGTCCACATAAGGCAACACTCCTGTAAGGTAGAAATCGTCTTTTGAAATCACATTTATCAGTGAGTAGTCAGTCACATGAATCTTTGTACTTCAGTTTTGTGTCAAAACCATTTCCCAATATGCCTGTGTTTTTCTTAATCTGTGCCCCATGCTGTTAAGCAGAGCATGTAGCCCGTCACTCTGACATACTTAAACAGTCTGTGAACAAATCCAGCCAATGCTTTTCCAAAACCCATTTCAATCTTGGCTAGAAAGGCATCCCTGACTGTAAGGGGTAGGTAGAAATGAATAGTCCAGGAGTAGGGAAGGAAATCATTGAGAATTCCATGTTTTTTTCTCCTGCAATTAGGATATCTCTTATGTTGGCTAAAAATGGCAAATCACTAATACAAGAGAGATAAGAAAGAACCAGTCCTTTCCCCCTTCATTCCTATTCCTTAGAGCTCTGATGATCATACTTTGCCCAGGACATTTGGAGGCCCCTGCCACAGTCCTTTTCATCAGCTCTTCCTGCTTTTGATCCATTTGTTTTTCCCAGGCATAACTACCACCTGTGCTGTCTTCTCAAGTTCCCTTAGAAAAGGAATCACGTTTCATCAAGGTCCTCATGTTGTAGAATGAAATCTCTCTGACCCATTGTATAGCTTAAAGATGCAAAACCCTGAATTCTCTTAATTAAAAAAGTAGAACCAGGGAAACCAACTCAACCTGTTGCTCTGAATCTGAAGAGAAGTGCTATTTGGTGAAAGCACCTCCTCAGATTTATGACCAGTTCAGCATCCACAGACAGTAATGAAGAATAACTTTAATAATCAATACTCTATAAGGATAGGGACTGTCATCAGAAAAGACACCGAAATCTTCCCTTGTCAAATAAATGAACAAAAATCACTCCCATTTGCTCACTGATGCTTGAAATTTCTTTAACATGAATTAAATATTTCTGGTGAAGCCATATGTAATTTTGGTTAAAAGTTTAGGTATTTACCTGGCAAACCAAATGCAACAGACAAGAAAAAGAAATAAAGGGTATTCAATTAGGAAAACAGGAAGTCAAATTGTCTCTATTTGCAGATGACATGATTGTATATTTAGAAGACCCCATCATCTCAGCCCAAAATCTCCTTAAGATGATAAGCAACGTCAGCAAAGTCTCAGGATACAAAATCAATGTGCAAAAATCATAAGCATTCCTGTATACCAATAACAAACAAACAGAGCCAAATCGTGAGTCAATTCCCAGTCACAATTGCTACAAAGAGAATAAAATACCTAGGAATACAACTAACAAAGGATGTGAAGGACCTTTTCAAGGAAAACTACAAACCACTGCTCAAGGAAATAAGAAAGGACGCAAACAGTTGGAAAAACATTCCATGCTCATGGTTAGAAAGAATCAGTATCATGAAAATGGCCATACTGCCCGAAGTAATTTATGGATTCAATGCTATCCCCATCAAGCTACCACTGACCTTCTTCACAGAAGTGGAAAAAAACACCTTAAACTTCATATGGAACCAAAAAAAGAGCCCACATAGCCAAGACAATCCTAAGCAAAAAGAAAACAGCTGGAGGCATCACACTGCCTGACTTCAAACTATACTACAAGGCTACAGTAATCAAAACAGCATGGTACTGGTACCAAAACAGAGATATAGACCAATAGAACAGAACAGAGGCCTCGGAAGTAATGCCACACATCTACAACCATTGGATCTCGACAAACCTGACAAAAACAAGCAATGGGGAAAGGGCTCCCTGTTTAATAAATGGTGTTGGGAAAACTGGCTAGCCATGTGCAGAAAGCTGAAACTGGACCCCTTCCTACACCTTAAACAAAAATTAACTCCAGATGGATTAAATATTTAAACATAAGACCTAACACCATAAAAACCCTAGAAGAAAACCTAGTCAATACCATTCAGGACATAGGCATAGGCAAGGACTTTATGACTATAAAGCACCAAAAGCAATGGCAACAAAAACCAAAATAGACAAATGGGATCTAATTAAACTTAAGAGCTTCTGCACAGCAAAATAAACTATCATTAGAGTGAAGTGGCAACCAACAGAATGGGAAAAAATTTTTGCAACCTACCCGTCTGACAAAGGGCTAAAATTCAGAATCTACAAAGAACTAAAAAAAATTTACAAGAAAAAACAAACAACCCCATCAAAAAGGGGGCAAATGATATGAACAGACACTTTTTAAAAGAAGACATTTATGCTGCCAACAAATATATGAAGAAATGCTCATTGTCACTGGTCATTAGAGAAATACAAATCAAAACCACATTGGGATACCATCTCACACCAGTTAGAATGGCAATCATTAAAATATCTGGAGACAACAGATGCTGGAGAGGATGTGGAGAAATAGGAACACTTTTACACTGTTGGTGGGAGTGTCAATTAGTTCAACCATTGTGGAAGACAGTGTGGCGATTCCTTGAGGATCTAGAAATAGAAATTCCATTTGACCCAGCAATCCCATTACTGGGTATATATCCAAAGGATTATAAATCCTTTATTATAAAGACACATGCACATGTATGTTCACCGTGGCACTGTTTACAATAGCAAAGACCTGGAACTAACCCAAATGCCCATCAATGATAGACTGGATAAAGAAAATGTAGCATATATACACCATGGAATACTATGCAGTCATAAAAAGGGATGAGTTGATGTCCTTTCCAGGGACATGAATGAATCTGGAAAACATCATTCTCAGCAAACTGACACAAGAACAGAAAACCAAACACTGCATGTTCTCACTCATAGGCGGGTGTTGAAGAATAACACATGGACATAGGGAGGGGAGCATCACACACTGGGGTCTGTTGGGGGGTGGTGGACTAGGGGAGGGATAGCGGGGTGGGGAGATTGGGGAGGGATAACATTGGGAGAAATACCTGATGTAGGGGACAGGGGGATGGAGGCAGCAAACCACCATGGCAAGTGTATACTTATGTAACAATCCTGCAAGATCTGCACATGTACCCCAGAAATTAAAGTATATGTATGTAGTAAAAAGTTTAAGTATTTACTTGTTATTGCAACTGGGCAATAGGTATAAAAATTTTTCAAAATATGTATACCCTTTGACCTTATACCTCCACTTCCAGAAATTTATTCCTAGTAAATAATCTGAAAGTTGCACAGAAATGTCTGTATGTGAAGCTCCATTATGGCTTCGTAAAAAATTTTTATAATGCAAATTTCAAACATACACAAAAGTAAAGAGGATAATATAATGAGCCACTGTGTATGTACCAACCAGCTTTATTGATTATCTACATTTTGCCCAGCTCCTGTTTTATTTATTCTCCACTATTCTTTTGCATTGTTGTTTTTGCTGGAATGTTTTAATTGCAATCCCAGCCATCTGGCATTAGTCTCTTAAATACTTTAGTTGTAACATTTTAAAAATAAAATTTTTTTCGAAATTAATATTAGCCTGATATCTTTCTTTCACCATTCAAGTTAGCAATAATTTCTGAATATCCTCTAATACACATTCATGTGCAATTTCAGAATGTCAAAAATGTCTTTTTACGATTTGTTTAAATCTGTATCCAAAAAGTTTCATAGGTTGGATTTAGTTGGTATTTCTCTTAAATCTCTGTAATCTATGACAATGTTTCCATTTTTTTATTATGCCATTTATATGTTGAAAAAATAAGGTCATTTTGTCCTGCAGAATTTCTCATATTCTGGATTTGGCCAATTGTCTCCTTCTTGTATCATTTAATCTGTTTTTTTATCCCCTGTAAACTGGTAATTAGAGCCTGAGGCTCAATTGAATCCAGGTTCTGTTTCTTTCTTTTTCAGGTAAGAATACTTTATAGGTGGCTATGTGTACTTCATATTACATCACGTCATTAGCCACATAAGGCTGTCCAACCCATTTTTAGTGGTGTGTACATCAATTAACAGATTCAAGTGCTCTCAGCGTAATCCCCTCATTATATACTTTTTCATCAATTTTTCACCTAATGGTTTTAGCAGGTATTAATGTTCATTGCCTAGATCCATTATCTTATTAGCAATTTTAAAGTGTTGATGTTGTAATGTTATAATACCTTATTGTTACATTGGCTCTTTCTTTTATAATGAAGCAGCTTTTGAACCTCAGCTTTTTGTTTTTTTAAAAAATGTCAACGTTACCAAATAATAAACACCTGTAACCTTTGCCTAGATTCACCAATTTTTAACATTTTGCCACATTTGCTTTATCACTCTCATTATATGTACTTATTTTTTGCTGTTTCATCCAAATTAGTTCATAGATACTATGACAAACTTTAAATATTTCAGCTTGTGTCTCCTAATAACGACAACATGCTCCTCATAACCATAGTTCCACCCTCAATACATTTAGCATTGATCATATTATTTAATACAGATTTTTTAAATTGCCAATTGTCACCATATGATCTAATATATAATTTTAAAATTCAGAATCCTTCAAAGGTACATGTACTACAGTGACATCCTGTCCAGTAATTTTCTACTTCCATCTTCTTTCTACATTTGTTAGTTGGCATTCTTTTGTAAAGAAAAACTTTCCCTTTTCTCCCATTGCCATCATTAATTTTTAGATGCTCAAATTGACTCAGATTTGTCCAATGGAAGCAACCATAATCTGGTTATGGCATCATTTTGACCCAGTTCCATTGGTCTTTGAGCATTTCCTTACTTTCTGGCACACGATTCTAGGCTCACCTTGCACTTTCCCTGTCTCACACCTAGAATCAGCAGTTTCTCCAAGCTTCTCTGGTTCTTGTCAATGAAGAATGCTGTTTAGAAACCAAGATTTGGCTGCTACATGTGCTCATTGCTAGTGGAATAGCATTGTTTCTGGATACTGTCAATGCACAGAACTGAGAAATATATCTTTCAAGAAACGTGAGTTGATACTGATACCTCTTATTCAAATCCTATATCATAGAAAAATCTTCCTCTGTTCTCCCTTTTTATATTTTATCTTCTCCCACAGTGAGAACCCTCATTTCCAAAACATTTAAGTTATTTTTTGTTTGCTATATGCTTCAATATGCACAAAATATTCTTAGTATTACTTAGTAATTATTCTTAGTATTATAACACTACAAAAACAAATAAAATTAAATATTTCTTTGAAGTTCTTTCTCTTCATAAAATATATCTTCTTAAGGTGTATTAAAGATTTATTTGAGGCTGGGCATGAGTGAGACTCTGTCTCAAAATAAAAAAAAAAAAAATGTGGCTGGGCACAGTGGCTCACACCTCTAATCCCAGCATTTTGGGAGGCTGAGGCAGGCGGATCACAAGGTCAAGAGATCGAGACCATCCTGGCCAACATGGTGAAACCCCGTCTCTACTAAAAATACAAAAAAATTAGCTGGGTGTGGTGGCGCGCACCTGTAGTCCCAGCTACTTGGGAGGCTGAGGCAGGAGAATTGCTTGAAGCTGGGAGGTGGAGGTTGCAGTGAGCCGAGGTCGCGCCACTGCACTCCAGCCTGGCGCCTGGTGAAGGAGTGAGACTCTGTCTAAAAACTATATGTATATATATATGTATTTGAATTAATTCTGCTTCCTATGTAGGAATACTTGCTGTACAATTTGATATATAATTAGGTTTATTTGTTTCTCTTTATATTCAATTTTGGTGTTGCCCTTATTTATTTTTTGAATATGTATAATTTTTACATGGCTCAAAAGTCAAAACTACAAGAAAGCAAATTCTAAAAAAATCATAACCCTATTCCTATCCTTTATATTCTCTTATTGTCCCCAACCCTTTTCAGTGTCTAGCTTTATCAATTTATAGATTTTTCTTGATATGTTTATGCTTACAAATATAATCAAACATTTCTCCTTTTTATTATTGTTATATATATATTGGTATTTAAAAAGATTTATATTTTTAATATACTGGTTACCTTTTTACTAATACTTAATTTTGTAATGGCCATAATCCGTTTTTCTTACATGGACTTCTACAATTGGTTTGTACCTTTAAATGGTATCTTCAGACTGTCACTTATTACCTACATAT